TAATCTGACCAGTGAGCTGACCAAGAGAGGAGAATGGAACCAGGACTTACTGAAGTACCATTCCCATGAGAGACTGAAATATTTTTTAATTCTTGCCTAACAAAATTGGATTTTTCCATGGAAAGAAATCCCTTTTTGTTCCAGTTCTCTGAATAACTAATGCTTCTCAGACTGACAGACCTGAAACGCCCAGCCCGGGGTGTGTCACAAATGGAGACAGACTCAGACTTCCCTCCTGATGGTAGGGCTAGTGAGCCCTCCTGTCCCTCGCTGCTTTAAAAGCTTTTCCTTACAAAGTGATCACTATAGTGAAATCATTCCCAGTGTTTCTGTTGGCAAAAGATTAGGTGTTTATTTTGCTTCCTCTAGTGTGTGGAGTAGGGATCTGACCCCTGCTCCTGGTGCAGTTTCTCTAGGGGTCCCAGGTTTCTCCTAACTGGCTCCCTTTAATTCATCTGCAAACCCTTAGCTTAAATTGTATATCAGCCCAGGGCTTGCGGTCTCCTTTTGTCTACCTGCTGATTTCTTGGAGGCAGCCTGGCTAGGATCAGTTGCTGCTCTGCTGTCTTTTCCCTCTGTTTGGGGCTGCTAAGTGTCGTGTAATGCACTGTCAAATCCTCTAACCTTCTACACCAGTGTGAAATGTTTTAAATTAAAGTAAGGCACTGGGTGGGGCCTTGCTGCTATGGGGTTTAAGGACAATTTCAGGCACCACACGTGTTTCCACTGTATTCATATGAGAACTCCCTCTCCTATCCCAGAACCTGGGTGCCCAGAGAGCAGCCACTACGAGTTGTGTGAGCATCCCTGCAGGAACTTGTGTGCCGGCTCCTGGCCTCAGCATCTGTGCAGCTCCCTGTGCTCAGAAGGGTGTTTTTGCACTGACGGGTACTGGTGGAGCGGGGAACAGTGTGTCCCACCAGAGAACTGTGGCTGTGAGCATGAAGGACACTACTACAGGGTAAGTTGTAACTTCCTTCTCTGGACAAAGCCAAGGCTGGGATGAGTTAGTTGAGGTTGGTCCTGCTTTGAGCAGGGGATTGGACTTGATTACTCCTTCCAGTCTTAATCTTCTATGGCCCCGTCTGCACGTATGGGAAGATCAACACTTTGGAGATCAATCTTCCAAGGTTCAATTCAGAGGGTCTAGTAAGGACCCACTACATTGAACTCTGATTGAACCCTGTCAACCCTGGTATGTCATGAGGTCATGAGGAGGAAGGGAAGTCAACAGGAGAGTTTGTCCCATTGACCTTCCACAGTGAGGACACTGCAGAAATTCAATTTAAGGTGGAGTTGCACATCTTAAATCAAATGTATTGCACAGCATAAACGTGGCCTATGATGCTATGATTCCATGGCAGTGCTGAGGAAAGGTGGCTCTGTGGGCAACTATAGAATGAAACCTCATTTTTTCCCAGTCAAGGATCTTCACTACCAAGCTTTGTCACCAAAAACTGCCTTTTGGCGACAAGTGAGAGCATTCACACTGTAATGTGACTATTGTCAGAAAAAACACCCAGTTTTGGTGACACACAATTTCCAGTCCTACAAGAGACTTTTTTCTTTTTCCCTCTTTTTATTGTTGGCAAAGAGCCAGTGTGGACTCTGCTGTTTGTTTTGTCGACAGAACTGATTTCTGCCAGTATCCCTCAATGGCACTGCTCAGTGCTTTGTGATCTTTGCTGCCCTGCAGGCATGCATCCCCCCCCCCCCCCCCCCCCCTTTACAACCCTGAGAACTGTTCCAGTTGGGGAGCCAAGAAAGTGCTCCTGGTCAGTCCTGCACTAGGAACACAGTGGCAGGCAGGCTGCTGCAGGGAGAAGGGGACAGGCTGTTGTGCCGCTTTGACGTTCCTCAGCATGGCAAGCTCACAGAACTACTAATGATGCTGCTCCCAACAGCTGAAGAGGCTGTGGGAGAATTTGGAGGGAATCCCAAGATGCGCAAGGATCAGCTCTGCCTTCCCACAGCATTACACTGTGCGATACTGGGGTGGGGTGACTGCTCCACACTGCTGGGAAGCGGTTAAAGCAGGCAGGAGGAAGCCTGCAGAGTCCTGGCCAATCAAGGAAAAGCTTTAAAAGAGCTAGTCAGAGGGTGGCTTGCTGAGGCAGCCCTGTAGAAAAGAAGCTGCTCAGCAGAGAATAAACAGGCTATGTTCAGGGAAAGCGTTTCTGAAAAAGTGGCCATGTTCTTTCGGCATCCCTGCATTCCTCATTGCATGAGGAAGAAGGGATGTTCTGAAAGAGGAGGTTTTTCCCACATTTGGCCCCGAGTAGATGAGCCAAATTTCAGAAAAGCCTCTTCCAAAAAAAAAACCCCACGGAAAAAGATATACCGTTTGCAATTTGCGTATCTTTTTCTGACTTTTCTTTGCAATCTAGACATAGCCTTAGACCCTGACCAGGGAAGGAGCAGTACCTGGTTCCCAGAGAACCACCTTTGGAAGAGCAGTGCTAGGCAGACTCAGGGGGGCTAGAGAGGGAGTCTCCAGCCTGATACCTGCCAGGCTGCTGCTCTTGCTACAAGGGCCAGGAGGTGTGAGAGTCACAGGGGGTATGTCTACACTACCCCGCTAGTTCGAACTAGGAGGGTAATGTAGGCATACCGCACTTGCTAATGAAGCCGGGATTTGAATTTCCCGGGCTTCATTAGCATAAGCGGGGAGCCGCCATTTTTAAATCCCCGCTGCTTCGAACCCCGTGTAGCGCGGCTACACGGGGCTCGAACTAGGTAGTTCGGACTAGGGTGCCTATTCCGAACTACCGGTACACCTCGTTTCATGAGGAGTAACGGTAGTTCGGAATAGGACCCTAGTCCGAACTACCTAGTTTGAGCCCCATGTAGCCGCGCTACACGGGGTTCGAACCAGCGGGGATTTAAAAATGGCGGGTCCCCCCCTTTTCAAACGAAACGCGAGCAAA